CTCCTATGCATTTTTGCTCCAAAAAGAAGAGAAATGGAATGCGAGCTGGAGAGGGAACTGGGATAGAATGGCGGTTTTCTGTTGAAGATGCGAGAGAGAATGGCTTGTTTGTGTGACACTGGGAAACACCCAGCGGAGGCTTTAGTCATTCATGTGCGAGTCAGTCGTTCAGCGTTTATTGACGACTCACTATGTACCTGTCACTGTCTAGATGCTGAATAGATAGTAGTGAACAAGGCAGGCCGGGCCCTGCCCCCTAAAAGCTTGTGTTGCTGGTCAGGGATGAACTTAAAAACATGTAAGTAAACCCAGTGGTCCTTCACGTGCCTTTGACCCAGTTGAGAAAGATCATCCGCTCTCTCACCGTTAGGCATGCAGGTTGGAGTTTGCTTACCATGACGTGAATGCACCGGTTTTTCGCTGGCTGAGAGAATTGCTTCTCGCTTTTGGTAAAATGGAGTTGACCTTGGTTCCATGGAGTGCAGTGGTGTTTAGCACAGCATTGACCAGACAAGACTCTCAAACGTACCAGTTCTGGTCGGTCTGAGGCAGAGCTGGCCAATCTATACTTCCCTCCCTTGCCGTGGCAGACATCTCCAATCAACCCAGATTCCTCTAGTGCAGTGGTTCTCAACCTTCCCAATGCCGCGACCCTTTAATACAGTTCCTCACGTTGTGGTGACGCCCAACCATAACATTATTTTCATTGCTACTTCATCACTGTCATGTTGCTACTGTTATGAGTCGTCATGTAAGTATCTGATATGCAGGATGTATTTTCATTGTTACAAATTGAACATAATTAAAGCATAGTGGTTAATCACAAAAACAATATGTAATTATATATGTGTTTTTCCGATGGTCTTAGGCGACCCCTGTGAGAGGGTCGTTCGACCCCCAAAGGGGTCGCGACCCACAGGTTGAGAACCGCTGCTCTAGTGCTTAGTGGATTAGTCATGTCTGCCTGGCCACAGGATTGAAAAACGAGAACCTGTGTTCCTGGTGTCTGTCTCTCCTCCCCTAGCCAGGAGGGTAGAAAGGTCAGGCTGCCTAGCTTTCTAGGCTGCACTTGGAGAGAGCAGCTGTGGGGATTCTGGGAAGATCAGGGGCTTGAATGTCAAAGTACTGGCATCAAGTGCCAGTTCCGCCACCTGCTGGCCATGTGAGCGGTCCACCCACTGTACCAGATGGTGAGAAGAAAAGGGGTTTCCATTCGTGAGGAGCAGAGCTGCCCCAGGTCAGACCTGTGACAACCCAGGCTCTGTGGGTACAGTTTTCTCAGCTGCCCCTGGCGGCTGCCACTTGTCCAAGTGCGTGGTAGGCTTCTCTCTCACCCGAGTGCCACCTGATGGGGCAAGAGCCTGCTTATTAACCTTTGTAAAGTAGGTTGAACCCTAACCTGTTCTTAACTCACCTTGCCCAGCTCTCAACCAGAAAAGCAACAACAACAAACTGATATAGGCCCGTCCCGGGGCCCTAAGTCTGTGGGCGTTGAACGTGCCTCCCTGGGCTGTGCCTGCCGTCTCCTTGCCCTGGGCCTCTCCTCCCATTCCAGCCAGTCGGGTCGGTCGAGTCAACCTGTATATTCTGAGGCCTCCTGGGGCCTGAGGTCAGGCCTGGGAGCCTGGGGAGTGGGAAGATGGGAAGAAACGATAATATGGAATGACCGCCTGCTGCTTTGAGGTGCCGGGTGACGCCACAGGGAACCTTGGCCGCTGGGGAACTTGCTCAGAGGAGTCCCGTGCAGTGTCTCAGGCCCTCCAGCTGGTGATGGGCAGAGACTGGACTGGAGTCCAGGGCCCTGTGTGTCTGAACGTGTGTCTCTCTGAACTTCCCTCCTCCCCAAGTGCTCGAGGTCTGCCCCTGCTAGTTCACTCGGGATGTGCAAGTCTGTTCTGTATCAAGCAGAAATGGCTATACGGTCAGTCCCCATTTTACAGATGTGGAAACTGAGGCTTTGATAGGCAGACTCCAAAACCAGTGCTTTTAAAGCCTGCGGTGGTGGCCTAAGGTTCAGGAGGCCTGTGCTGACTGACTCTCTCTGTGTGATACTCAATATTCTCTTTCTCTCTCTTGGCCTCAGTTTCCCCGTCTGTAAAGAGAAGTTGAGTTGAACCGTAAGACCATTTTGGTGAGTTTTTATTCCGAGTGGTTTGCCAGGCCTTTCTGGCTCCCACCTTTCCACCCTTCCTTTCCCAGAATCCATAGATGCTGAAGGCTTAACTGGACAGGAATGTTGACTGGAAGAGAAAGGGGAGCCCCCTGCTGGCAGATACTAGGATTGGCATCCTCAGACCAAGGCCTACCCCTCCCCACCTCTGAGTCTAGGTTTGTCTGGGATCCACCAGCTGGGAATGTTTACAAGGGCTCTTAGCTTTGGACCATCCTGGACCAGCCTGCGGTCTTCTGAGGCCAGACTAATGGAGATCTGACCGTGTGGAATGAGGCTGTGTCTGGGCCTGGCTGAGGATCCTGTAAGCAAGAGGGGGTATCCACACACACACACACACACACACACACACACACCTCTCCTTCCAGCAGCCACCGAGCAGCCATAGGGTGTGCACGAGAAGGCCAACCCGCCTTCATGGAACCCTCAGGAAGCCCCTGGGACGGTGTGGCCTCTGCAGGAACAGCGTCTCCTGGCGGGAGTGACGGTGTGAGTTCAGGGCCATCCGCTGGCTGTGCTTTCATGGAGTCGATGGAGGAGTGAAAGGGGCTCAAGGTCAGAGTCCAGGATGCAAGTCCAGGTCCACTGCTTGAGTCGTGTGGGTCTTGATGAGTAAGGGAGCCCTCTGTGCCTCAGTTTCCTCCTCTGTAAGGCAGGTGCAGCCCCACCCCCAGCACCAGCTCCGAGGAGCAGGTGAGGCTGACCGGGCTGTGCGGAGGTGGTTGGGGGTTGGAGGCAGCAGGGTAGCAGGCTGGTTGGGTCCTGGGGGCAGGTGGGTGCTGCCACTCACCACTTGGCTGGGTTCCTTAATCTCCATGGATGCCACTTCCTTGTCTTTCACTTGGAATGAATTAGTAAGGTGGTTGTGAGAATTTGGCGACAAAAATCCGTAAGAGACTTGAAAAGTGTCAGGCACATGGGGATCACCTTAATGGCTAGGAAGCTGAGGCCTGGGAGGTAAGTGACAGCTCAGGGACTTAGAGGCGGGACAGAACCAGCACCCCTGACCCCAGTCCGATGCTCATCCCCCCGCCCATCGACATGTTGCAGGGCCGAGGGGTGGGGAGGTGGGGGTGGGGGTCATCAGAGTGGAGTGTCCTAGGACCTCAGAAGCCAAAGGAAGTTCTCAGAGTCCATCACATTCATGCTGAGGGGAAACTGGGGCTGAGAGAGGGGAAGGTGAGAACCTGGTCCCCTCTCCCCAGCGAGGTTCTCACCGCAGGCACTGCCCTGGGGGGCAAGGAGAAACCCCTCGTGCTCTAAAAGCACCCTGGAAAACCCCTCTTTCCAGGCCCCCAAAGCTCAGAGTTTACCTGTTCTGTTGTCCTCGCGTATCGGCTGTGGCCTCCTTGCCTGGGCCTTGGAGGAAGGGTCTGCTTTGCCCGTGGGGAGAGGGTCAGTGCAGAGACCTCCCTGCTCTCTCTGGTCCCCACCCGCCAAGAGGGGCATTTGCAGAAGGTATATGCGCTGGTGCCACTCCACGCTGCCCCACATCTGGGTGACTCTGCTGCGGCAAGGCCCCCTCAGAAGCCTGAGAAAAGTGACATCCCCAACAAGTACCATCGACGTGGGGCTGCAGCTGGGCCCTGATCACACCCTCATCTCGTGCGTGCATCCGGCCTCCTCCCAGTTAGAAGAATAGGCCCTCCGCACATGCCCTCCCTCCCACCTCAGAGTCCCCACACGCCCAGGGGCCAGGCTCGCCTCCTTCCGTGACCCCGCAGGGCCCGCCAGGCGTGACATTACCCGTCACCATGGCAGTGGTTCCACCAGCCTGGCTGCTGGAATGGGGCACGCCTGGGCGAAGCCGATGGCTGGGAAGGCGAGCGGAGGCCGGTCATGCCTCGCAGACCTCAGCAAGTGTGAGGAATGTTTGGAGAACATCAAAAGCGGTTTGAAAGGAGAAATAAAAGCATCCCTGTGACGAAGGAAGGAAGGAGGCATGTAGTACTCATGGCGGTGTGCATGTCGCTGTGGTGCTCATGGCCGTGTGCATGTCGCTGTGGTGCTCATGGCCGTGTGCATGTCGCTGTGTGGTGCTCATGGCTGTGTGCATGTCGCTGTGTGGTGCTCATGGCTGTGTGCATGTCGCTGTGTGGTGCTCATGGCCGTGTGCATGTCGCTGTGTGGTGCTCATGGCTGTGTGCATGTTGCTGTGTGGTGCTCATGGCCGTGTGCATGTCGCTGTGTGGTGCTCATGGCCGTGTGCATGTCGCTGTGTGGTGCTCATGGCTGTGTGCATGTCGCTGTGTGGTGCTCATGGCCGTGTGCATGTTGCTGTGTGGTGCTCATGGCCGTGTGCATGTTGCTGTGTGGTGCTCATGGCCGTGTGCATGTCGCTGTGTGGTGCTCATGGCCGTGTGCATGTCGCTGTGTGGTGCTCATGGCTGTGTGCATGTCACTGTGTGGTGCTCATGGCTGTGTGCATGTTGCTGTGTGGTGCTCATGGCCATGTGCATGTCGCTGTGTGGTGCTCATGGCCGTGTGCATGTCGCTGTGTGGTGCTCATGGCTGTGTGCATGTTGCTGTGTGGTGCTCATGGCTGTGTGCATGTCGCTGTGGTGCTCATGGCTGTGTGCATGTGACTGTGTGGTGCTCATGGCTGTGTGCATGTCACTCTGTGGTGCTCGTGGCTGTACGCATGTCGCTGAAGTCATTTCTTGGGGGGGTTCCCTGCCAAACCTTGTTTCTTAAGTAGTTGCAATAGCAGCGCCCTCTGTAGCGACACCCCATGTGATGGAGGCGGCAGTAACGTCATTCCGGCTCTGTGGGGACCACACCCCCTTCCCCACCCCTCCCCCACCCCCACTCCGGTGCAGGGTCCTGTGCTGTGCTCCCAGGCCCTGCTCCTCTGCGTGCAGTTTCTCCACCAGGTGGTGGACACGTGGCTTCTGACAGGCAGGTGGGGGCACCGCGCCTTCTATGGTCCCACCGTGGTTCCAGAGGCGCCTTATCGGCGTTGGCAGGTGGTCTTCCCTTGGCGCTCGTGCCCAGACACCCAGCGCTCGTGTTTCTCGTCCTCGGCCTGGCAGGCTGCAGCCCAGGGGCGGGCAGAGCCCAGAGCGGAGAGCCTGTGAGACGGAACCTCAGCGGAGCCCTTTGTGGGAGGAGTAATGGCACTTCCCAGGCCTGCCTTGTGGCAGGAGTGCGCTGGGCTGCATGTAATGGGAAACCCATAGACAGGGGGGTTTCTCTTTCTCCTGTCCTAATGAATTCTGGCCTGGGTAATGCACCAGCAGTCCAGGCTCCTTCTGTCTGTCTGTCTGCCTGCCCCCCGGTTTCAGCCTGTGTCTCCATCTTGGTGCTCGAACGCACATCCGTGCTCCCAGCAGGAAGGCAATGGGAAGGAGATGCTGTGACCTTTTCTGTAAAGAGCGCAGCGGATCGCCCAGTAGACATCTGTGTGGATCTCAGTTGCCAGAACTGGGACACGTGCCCCTCCAGCTGCAAGGGAGCTTGGGAAGCTGTGTCGTAACTGGGCACAAGCAAACACGGGGTTCTCTTGGGAAGGAGTCTAGAGACTCGGGTCACCCATGCGCATAGGGGCTTGTCGCCTCGATCAGATCTGCCACCACCCAAAAGATGGGGACCCTGTCTTGCTCAGCCCTGTCCCCTCCAGGCATGGAGCCTGGCACACAGAAGGTGCTTAGCAAATAGTGGGGGGGAGGGGGGCGGCTCCTGCTCTCATCTGAGGGGAAAGCCACTAATCTGAAGGCAGAGGCCTGGCCCTTGCGCTCAGGGAACCCGCAGTCATAGCCGCCACCCCCCACGGAGGCCACCAGCTCAGACGTGTGCTCGTGTCAGCCCTCTTCGATGGCAGAACAGCCAGCAGCACGCAGCTCCTGCAGCGTGTGCACCGTGCGCGGGGTTGGCACAGTGGGCGGTCCATGGAGGCCGCAGCGTCACGCCCCCCACAGCCACTTGGCAAAAGGGAAGGAAGCCCAGCGGGGCTGTGAGGGGGAGATCCCCTCCCGAAGCTCCAGTCCCGAGAGTAAGTCTGGTTCCCACCCAGGTGAGGCTGAGGGAGGTACATCAGAGCCCAGGGGGGTTCGTTTCCAACCAGGGGGCAGAGGGGTGACCCCCACGGGAGCCCATGAGACCTGCTTGGCAGCCGCTTCTCTCCACTGGCGCAGAGAGCCCGCCCACGGCTCCCGGGAAGCCACGGCGGTCACTTCGCGTGGGTCAGTGGCCTCCCTCGGAGCCACCCCCGGCGCTTCCCTCTGGTTCTCACACCCCACCGGTTCCAGGCTCCCCAGGCCTCCGGCTCCTTCACATTGGGGACCAGCCAGTTCAGAGCAGGGATAGATGGGTCATCAAAAACGTGCCCCCCTCGTTGGATCAATAAAACTGAGAGGTGACAGTAGGGACTCTATCAACAGACAGGCCTGGGTTCGAATCCTGAGAGTGCCACAGAGTGACCTGGGAGCTTGGGGGAGAAGCTTCATTGCCGGGGTCCTGCCCCAGCGGGTCCAGGGGTCCCCAAAGGTGTAGACGGAGTCGGCGAAGAAGGAATGACATGGAGGCAGCGTTCAGTTGATCAGCAGCCTAGCCAGGATCTCCAGCCAGGATCTCCAGCCAAGTTCTGGTCTGGATCTCCAGCGAAGTTCTGCTTAGGATCTCCAGCCAGGTTCTGTAGCCAAGTTCCCTCGCTAGGTTCTCCAGCCAGGTTCTGTCCAGGTTCTCCAGCCAGGCTCAGTTACCAGGTTCTAGTCAGGTTCTCTTGCCAATTTCTGTAGTCAGGTTCAGTCCAGGATCTTTTGCCATGTTCTCTCGCTAGGTTCTGTCTCTAGGTTCTGAGGCCGGTTTCTGTCCAGGAACTTTTGCCATGTTCTCTCCAGCGAAGTTCTTCTGTCTCTAGAGAACGTTCTGTGTAGGTTCTGTGCCTAGGTTCTGTCTCTCTTGGTTCTGTATTCTAAGTTCTGAGTCTTGCTGTCTTGTTGCATCTGTATTTATACCAGTTGATTCAATCCTATCAATTTCTATTACAAAGGTTAGGGCGTTTCTTATCTTCATTCCATGGAGTAAAGATTATGTAGCTTAAGCATGATTGTTCGTAGTTAAAGTGATTAATTACCCGCCTGGCACTTAGTTAAGAGGTTTTATTCCCTCCCTAACTTCAGGGGAAAATCCCTACCTGGGGAAACAACCTTTCTCAGAGAGGAGACCTTGGTTAAAACACAGTGCCAAGGTGAGCAAACATATTAAGAACAGTATGCCATATATGCCAGGTCCTTTGAAACAGCAAGGATGGACCGGCTCCCGGCACTTCATGTCTCTGGACCCTGTTTCCTCATCTGTTAAAAAAGGGATCGATTCCCTACCAGCTAGGGCCTACCTGGTTTTGCCCAGTGGATAGCGCCTCGTCCTGTGGACTGAAGGGTCCCGGGTTCAATTCTGGTCAAGGTCACATGCCCAGGTGGCAGGCTCGATCCCCAGTAGGGGGCAGCTGATCAATGACTTTCTCTCATCATTGATGTTTCTCACTCTCTCTCCCTCTCCCTTGCTCTCTGAAATCAATAAAAATATATATTTAAAAACCGGGGGTGGGGGGTCGACATAGGGTCCCTCCTCAGCGTTCGGGGCCAGCAGACAACCAGGATCCCAGGACTAACGCGCTCTTCTGTCCCCCAGCCATGAAAGCCGACCGGAAGCGCCTGAAGGGCGAGAAGACGGACCTGGTGAGCCAGATGCAGCAGCTGTACGCCACGCTGGAGAGCCGCGAGGAGCAGCTGCGGGACTTCATCCGGAACTACGAGCAGCACCGCAAGGTCAGGACCCTCCACTCCCCAGACACCAGCTCTCCCCACGCCCGGCCCGGGGGTGGCCTCTCCCATCCCCCTTGGGAGAGACTCTGTTCATGTCGCCTGTGCCCACTGGGGAGGCCTCCAGCGTGTCTCGCCCGGTCCGGGCCCTGAGCTGAAACAGGCACAGCTCTTATCTGAGGGCTCCATGACGTCGGGGCAAACACACATCGACAGGATGGCTGAGGCGGTGACAGTGGGGGCTCCGGAGACAGGCTGGCCTAGGTTCAGATCCTGGCTCCCCGTGTGTGTGTCCCTGGGCATCTCAGGAATGGGGTGCAGACTGTGGAGCTGTGTGAGGACCGTCTGCGTTGGTGAGCGCAGAGCACGCCGCGTGGCGCCCGGCGCACAGGGAGCGCTCAGTGAGTGTTAGCTCTGCATCTGATTCATGACACCATAACGAGTGTGTGAACAGAGAGCCGGGAGCGCCGGTGAGGCGGCAGGGACTTCTGCAGGCAGGGAGACCATGTTGGAAGGCATCACAGAGGAAGTGGCTGTGAGCTGGGCACTGTGGGATGGGCTCTGTGGGATGAGTAGGAGTTTATGGTCGGCTAGCCGAGGAACTTGGTTCACCAATTGTGGGCGACAGGATGGCTGCCTCTCCGTGGTCCCGGGCCATGGAGAGACCTGGAGGTTAGCTCCTGACGTGGAGAACGGGAAGGCCGTGGCCAGGCGGCTGGGCAGGGCCCCCTGTGGGGACCGTCCTCTGGGGAAGGACACCTGCTGTCCTGAACCTGGGCTCTTGGCATCAGAGGTCAGGTCCCGATTCAGCCACGTGTTCCTTGCCTGCTAACTTGGCTCTGGACACAGCGGAGCTCCTGCAAGGGGCCCAGCCCGGAGCAGGGCCAGGTGCCTGGCCGGGAACTGTGCCGAGGGGTCCAGCCTGTGTCATCGGGGTCTGTGACCCTGTGGAGGGGTGGCAGGGCCCACAGCAGCCACGGAGACAGGGCTGCAGGCGTCTCCTTCTCTGTCACATACATGTTACTAAACAAGAAAACAAAGCCTCAGACCCACGACTGACCCTAACGTTTGTCGGACTCTGTTTAAATGTTTCCCTCATGTGAACTCAATCTTTATAACAGTTCTTTGAAGTAAATAGTATTGGCCCCTTCCCCCCATTTTTCAGAAATATTTTATTATTGATTCCAGAGAGGAAGGGAGAAGGAGAGATAGAAACCTCAGTGATGAGAGAGAATCATCCACTGGCTGCCTCCTGCACACCCCACACTGGGGATTGAGCCTGCAACCTGGGCAGGTGCCCTGACCGGGAATTGAACCGTGGCCTCCTGGTTCCTAGGTCGACACTCAAGCACTGAGCCATGCCGGCTGGGTCCCCCACGCCCCCATTTTAAATACAGAGTAAGCGAGACTGGATGAAGTCAAACAACTTCCCCGAGACAAACATTTGCTCAGTGAGTCATTGAAAAATGTTTCCTGAGCCTCTGCCAAGGGTTTGTGTCTGTTCCCATCTCCCCGTAGTTTGTGGCATGGCTGGGACTCGAACCCAGGGCTTTCCCACCCCAGAGCCTTCTGTGGTCGGGGGTCAGGGCCCCTCAGGGTATGTCTAGCCATGCCCTGCACTCCCCATGGTGACGCCCTGGGCTCTCCCCACCCCATCCCCCGCAGGAGAGCGAGGATGCCGTCAAAGCTCTGGCCAAGGAGAAGGACCTGCTGGAGCGGGAGAAGTGGGAGCTCCGGCGCCAAGCCAAGGAGGCCACGGACCACGCCACGGCACTGCGCTCCCAGCTGGACCTCAAGGACAACCGGATGAAGGAGCTGGAGGCTGAGCTGGCCATGGTGAGCCCCTCCCCGCCCTGCCCTGCCTTCACACATGCAGGGCGCAGGGCGGTGGGACTTGTGCTGGGAGGCAGGACGCAGAGAATCCTGGAGTGGAGGAGTGGAGTCAGGCAGAGCAGGACCCAGGAGGGGGTGGGGCTGGGGGCGGGGTCTGTGAGGATTGGCATCTTCTTCCCACATCAACCCCTGAGCCTGGGCAGTCTCTCACCCACCTGCCTGGGCCTGGGGCATGGGGTGCTGGGAGACCCTCCACTCTTCCGCACTCCCCAGGCTACTGCAAAAATAAAAGCCCATTTTTAAAAAAATAGATTTGTTTAGGAAAACATTTGGGAGGAAATACACACAAAAAAATGAACAATGGTTACCTCTGGGTACTAGGATTACCAGTGAGTTTTATTTTCCTGTGTGTGTGTGTGTGTGTGTGTGTGTGTGTGTGTGTGTATGCGCGCGCGCACCTGTTATTTTCATCTACAGTGAGAATGTCTTATTTGGGTTGTCAAGGGGAAAAGTGTTACTTTTTTCTAATCCAAAACAAACCTTCAGAATACCCCCAAAAACTGTTTACTGCGGTGACCCACAGCCCGCACGTGGGAGCAGAGAGCCATGGTGTGTCTGGGCCTGGCTGAAAAACCGAGGCCCAGAGCCCTGGAGTTTGCTCCGCCTGCTCCTGTGTGGCCTTGGGCCGCTCACTGCACTTCTCTGGGCTTCGGTGCCCTTTATCTGGAACTGGGTGGGGCTGAGGGTCTTCATCCCACCCTGTCTGCCCCACCAGGTGGCAGGGAAACACTTGGGAGCCCTGAGGGCTGGGGAGGGCTGCCTGGCTCCACGTTCGCCTGCAGAGCACGGATGCGTGCTGACAGTGTGATTACAGCCGTGGGTTCCGGGTTCGAATTCAGCCCCCGTCACTTTCTAGTTGTGTGACCTTATGCAGGACCCGTCACCTCTCTGAGCCTCGGTTTCATCCGGTCTAAATAGGGTAATGGCCTGTGTCTCCTGGGGCTCTTGGGAGGATGTCAATGAAATAACACCAGGGAAGTGATTAGTCTGGTGCCTGCACATGGTGATGGATGATATGAGACGAAGGTTTTCTGCGGTCACTTCCTTCCGGACCGCCCTGGTCAGGATCCATGGGTCCCTCTTGGGACCAGCTCAGCCCCTACCTACCTGCCACCTACCTCCTGGGTCTCCTTGTCCAATGCTGACCCCTAGTGGTGAGAACTGCCCAGGCCCGGAGGAAGCTGTCAGTCCCCTTTGGGGTGGAGGTGGGGTCAGCGGTGCTGGTGCCTCTGCTGCCCGCCTGTTCTCCCAGGCCTGCCCAGTGCCCTGGGGACAGACAGACATGTCTTCCTTGCCAGGGCGCACTGGCCTCAAGCATCCTGGGGAATTCCGGGGTCTTTCAGGGTTGCGAGCCAGAGCACCTCTGCTCCCGCAGTCCCCATGCCCAGACCTCTCCACATGCTTCCCTCTGGCCAACAAAACTCAGGTCCCCGCCTCCTCCTTCTGGCAGGCATCAGACCCCTCTGCTAAGTGTGAAGAGTTAGAGTGAATGTCTGCAGCTCAGGGTGATGGCTTTGTTATAACAAGAAGGAGGGCTCCAGCAGAGGGAAGGGGCTTTCCTAAGAGCCCTGACAGCCCCTGTGTTGTTGGGGTGTCCACCGCCATCTGCAGGATTACCACCTGGAGGCCTCCGGGGCTGTCTGCGCCAGGCGGTGTGGTGCAGCGCCCCTCCTGCACCGCTGGCCAGGCGAGACCAGAGGGGAGGTACCGTCCTGCAGGTACCCCTTTACGTCCTTGGGTTAAAACTGCAGGAAGCAGCTCTGGCTTGTGTAAGCGCACAGGCACACATTGGAGGAAATCAGGAGCTCACGGGCCCAGTGTGCGTGCAGGTTTTTAGTTTTTTATTGATTTCAGAGAGGACTGAAGAGGGAGACAGAAACAAACATCCATGATGAGGGAGAATCATTGATCAGCTGCCTCCTGCAGGGGCCCCCACTGGGAACTAAGCCTGCAACCCGGGCATATGCCCGAACCTGGAATCAAACTATGATCTCCCTGTTCATAGATAGATGCTCAGCCACTGGGCCACGCCAGCCGGGCAAGCATGCAGGTTTTAATAAGACTTCACGCTCACCGGCAGCTCCCGTCTCCGTCGTAGCTGTGCCCGAGGGTTAAAGTCACGGGCGGGCAGTTTGGGAGAGGATCCTGTGCTGCATCATCAGGACCAGCCTAGAGGGACACCCCACCCCCCCTCACCCCAGTTGTCAGGAAGCAGTGATGTTGAGCTGCCTGCTGAGTTAGAAGGGGCCATTCCAAGTCCCCGGCAGGTCAGGCTCCGCCTGGGAGAAGAAAGCCGGTTGGGCCTGGAGAGCATCCCTGCCCGGGCCTCTCTCTGCGATGCCATAACGGGCCGGGCTGCTTGTTTCAGGGGCAGCTGTGCTTCCCTCGCTTCCCAGGTGTGGGGCTGGGAATGCTGCGAGAGGGAGAGCGGGGGGTTAACTGCACAGATGGCAGGCCTGCCCAGGTGCTCATTGCTCCCCCTGAGTCCACCTTCAGGGCAGCCAAGATGGATTGGGCGGGAGGAAGGGAGCGGGCATCCCCCTAGGAGCAGCTGCCAGGATGGAGAATCTGGACGCACATGCACGTTGCGGGGAAAGCAGGTGTGGTGCCAAGTGAGGTGCGGGGTCCCGGGAGATGGGAGTCTGTGTGAAGCGGGGCTGCTGCAAGCACACGGCAGCTCTGAGCCACGCTGGCCTCGCTCGCTCCTGCAGCAGAGGGATTGCTCCTGGTCCTGGTCTGCGTCACTTATGCTGGTTTTCCTGTCCCAGCGGAGGGTGGGCACCCGGGAACCCACAAAGGGCTTGCAGTCAGACACCCAGGCTTGGAGCCCAGCTTGGATGCTGTGCCTGCTGTGCATCTTGGAGAAGTCATGGAACCTCTCTGAGCTTCTGGTTTCTCCTTCATCAAGTACAGATAATGGCACACTCCCTACTTGAGACCCAGGCTGTCACACTGAGCACACGAAGGTTTCCTAAGCAAGGGAGATGATTACCTGCCTCGGGGGTGGGGCTGACACCCTCAACTTGACCTCCTTCTGCCATATAGGTTTATATTCCCCAGGGGCTGGTGGTGGAAGGGAAGTGATTTCACCGACTCCTGGGGTGTCTGAGCTGGAGAGAACCCCAAAGATCGCTTGGTCTAGGCGTTCCATTATACAGATGTGGAAACTGAGGCTCAGAGAGGGCGGTGACGTATCTAAAATAACAGCTGGTTCACATGATGAAGCTCTATCAGGCTTTAGGCCAAGGACTGTCTGTTTATGGGCTGGAATCTCCGCTCTGCCAGAAGGAGCCTGAGGCCTTAGGGAAGGTATGGGAAGTTCTGGAGCAGGAGAGAGGAGGGGAAGTCTTTCATTTCATCTGCGTTCATGTCAGGGGCGAAGCCAGCACTCACGGTGGCTCTGCCATCTGTAACGACCCCCTGGGCATCGGATTCACTGGCGAGCTCAGCGCAAGCCCCTTGAGCCCCTCCGCGTGTCCCCCCTCTGCCCTGCATGAGCCGGGGGAGCCAGCCGGGAAGTGGAAATAGACTGTGAGGAATATGCATGAATACATCGCTAATATGTTCCTTTTTTCTCCCCCAAATAATCTGCTATTGTTTCTAATAAAACCCCACATATCCTGGGGGGAGGTAACCGAAAGCTGACAGAGACCTGTCACCGCCTGAGGAAAGGACGAGCTGTCCGACTACCCACCACCCTGACTCAGCCCACACTGCCCCTGGGCTTCCCGGGTCCCCTGCACCTCGCCCCGTGGCCCTGAGAGCCAGGGGGGAGTGGCCACCCCAGCCTTGCAATGTCCTTCAAGTCCCAGCCAGTCCTCAGAGAACCCAAGAGTGGGTGACAGTGTGTGTGTGTGTGTGTGCGTGCGTGCGTGTGCATATGTGTGTGTGCGTGCATGCGTGCGTGTGCATATGTGTGTGTGCGTGCGTGCGTGTGCATATGTGTGCGTGCGTGCGTGTGCATATGTGTGTGTGCGTGCGTGTGCGCGCGCACGTGTGTGTGTGCGTGCGTGTGTGTGCGTATGCGTGTGCGTGCTCGTGCGTGTGTGTGTGTGGAGGGCGGGGGCCTCTTTCTCTCCGTATTGCTGGTCTCACTTGGGTGTCAGGATCTAAGGTGTAACCCAGGGGAGGCCTGCCGTGCAGGTGCTTGGCTTACTGACTAGCACTCATGCAGCCGGCGATGCCCAGGTCCAGGGGCCAGTTCGTGGTTTTCTCATGATGGTGGGCGGTGGCCGAGCAGCCGGCCAAGAGGTCACCTCGTCCTCTTGTTCCCTGGCTCTTTCTCCAGGCCAAGCAGTCCCTAGCTACGCTGACCAAGGACGTCCCCAAGCGGCATTCACTCGCCATGCCAGGCGAGACCGTGCTCAACGGCAACCAGGAGTGGGTGGTGCAGGCGGACCTGCCGCTGACCGCAGCCATCCGGCAGAGCCAGCAGACGCTCTACCACTCGCACCCCCCGCACCCTGCAGACCGGCAAGGTGGGTCCTGGCCGGTGGGCCCAGCCACAGCGGCGGGGCTGCTTGGAGGTCCTCTGACCCAGTGGGGAAGGCAGTCTCTCCATTTCCACTGTAGCTGCTTAGGGGAGTGTGGGGCCCCAGGCCCATATAACTGAGGTCCCTGGGAGCTCCGCCTCTTCCTCTCCCTCACCCAGGTTAAGGGGGGCCTGCGTGGATCCAGAGGCCATGATGGGAGGCTCTTCCTGGAAACTGCTCTCTGATGGCTGCAGAATAGAGGGGCGGGGAGCTGGGCAGGGGTCTTCTCGACAGCTCATTGTCCTCCTGGGTGTAACGGGGCGCTGGTGCCACCGCCTGCAAGGCAGTCAAGGTGAGGCCATTCTCTCCATCCCTCACTCACCAGCTGTCCCTGCTTTCCAGCGGTCAGGGTGAGCCCCTGCCACTCCCGGCAGCCTTCCGTCATCTCCGACGCGTCTGCCGCCGAAGGCGACCGGTCATCCACGCCAAGCGACATCAACTCCCCTCGCCACCGGACGCACTCCCTCTGCAACGTAAGGCCAGCAGCAGCGGGGCCTGGGCCCTGGGCCCTGGGCCCTGCCCGGAAACCGCGGGGGCGGGCGGAGGGCTGAAGACGCACTCGCTCTTTCCTCTCGTCCACCCAGGGAGCACTCTGGCGGAGGCACTTCCTGTTCTGTTCTTTCCTTTTGCAAGAAGAGATGGATGTGGGGAGAGAAAGAAAGGAGGCCCATTTGCTCCTTGTGTCCGGGAGGGCAAGGAAAATCCAGAGGAAGGCGGGCCTGGGTCGGCGTGGGGTCTGTGCAGCGCGGGGTCCCCTCTGGTGGGCTGGGCGAGACCGCGGGCCTCTCCTCCCAGACGTCAGCCTTCCCAGCACGCTGCCTTTCCCTGTAGGGCCGGCTCTCCATCTTCATCCAGGAATGAGCCACAGTGTTTTGACTCCCAGAAGCCTTGGCACGTTTTGTCATGAATTTGCTCTCAGTTCGTTGGCTCTGCTTATGTAATCAGACACGGTTTGATTGCATACTGGGGCCAGCTACCAAGAGGCACATGTCCCCAGCCCCCTACTTCTTGATGACTAGTAGGGCGACAGACAGGCTCTCAAGGAGTGAGAGGGTGAAGGAAGGTGGGTCAGGGGTCTGAGGACCGGACGCCGCCGTGTTTAGGCTCCAACATGAAATATTGGGATTGGGTGTGGGGGCCACTCTCCATTCCTGGTCCATCAGGCGGTTGACAATAACAGGCTCCCCTGCCACATAGTGAAGACAGAGGCACACTAGTGCAGGTCTTCAAATGCGTGGGAAGGCTTTCTCAAAACCTCAGGCCATGTTGCTATATTAACCAGCGAGATAAGTAATAAAAAAGAAATGAGGCGAATATAGTAGGGGGAAAAGACAAAAGAACCATCACTGCTGGCGATATGATTATCTACCTGGGAAACGCAAGAGAATAACCTTGAAAAGCCATTAGAACTAACAATAAGCTAGTACATAACAGTGCTGGTTGAAAATCAATTTATAAAAATCAGTAACGTTTCTATATACAAGTAATCATAATGGAAACATTTTTTCCTATCTGCACTAACAATGAAAAGTGCTTATAAAAATAGCTGAGGCTCAACTTAAGTTGCTGCGTGGGCAGCGGGATTGCTGGCCCGGGGCCCTATTCAGCCTACATCGTAATGGGGAGAAGGTCGCCTGGGGGCCTGGGGCCCCACTCGGGGCTGGGATTCTTTCCTGACTGGGGCCTTATGAAAGGGAGCAGTGTGTTCTCTTGTCCCCAGGAGAGCACCCTGCTGACAAAGGCTGTCTTGACTGACAGAGCCAAGGTGAAGAAGGTGGACCACTGCTAGTAGAGGTGCTCTGACGTCTATTCTCTGGTTCGGAGCGGCCACTGTTACGTTGTACTCACAGCCAGCATCTTACAGCACACCCAGAACCTTCTGGTATCTGTGCACAGCCCCAAGGAGAGTCCTTCGCAAGGGCCCTTTTTTTTTCTTTTTTCTTTTTTTTTTTGGTCTCCCCTTGTTGGGCCCATAGTGGCCCTGACAGCCAAAATGCCGTTGGAAAATCCAATCTGCAGAAAGGGTTTTCTAAAAGCCTCTTGAATTGCATTGGCACAGGCCTTGCCTTTTGCCCAATTTGGCCCTGGTACATTGATTTCCAAGGCCACCTCCCACAGGGCCCTGCAGCGGGAAGCGGGAGCTTTGGTAAGCCAGTTGTCTGGGTACAGGCATTTCAGCGGGCACCGGCCTCATTCTCTTCCCCATACGCTTGGCAAAGATGGCCAGCCCTACCCACAGTAAACCTGTTTTAGGTGCCTGCCGTGAGTTCTGTTTGTGCATCTTGAGATAGGACTAAAGACTAAACTACCATTTGTTCCCTTCCTGCCCTCCCTCAACCACCTTCATGCCACATATCAACAGACGTGCACACAGGTGAGCCAGGAAGAGCCTGAACATAGCTCCAGGGAACCCTTTATTCTCAGGCATTTGACCTGACAACAGCAAGAACAGCCCAGTCTGGACTAAGGACCTCCCCGCCCCCCTCCATCCCCTCGGGCTCTGGCCATTAATTTAAAGCAGAGATGGCTGGCGTCTGAGCACAGAGAGGTTGGAGAAAGTTGATGGACAGGGCAAGTGACGCTTTGTTTCTTCATGGGCACTTTGCCTGCAATTCTGGAAACAACCACCAGGGGACTCCCTGGTCATGGCTTTTAGGATCCAAATGATCCGTTTGCCCCCAGAAACAAAACTGATTCTGGGTTTTGTTTCCTTTTTGTGTTGTACGTTTCCTTTTGTTCTCCACTTTTGTACACTATAGGAGGGAGAACTGGCCCAGGAGGAACCAGGCTGTCCCAAATGTGTATTGTATTTCTGCTTTTAATGAACTCGGTGCTGCTGGACCGTCTGGAGCCTGTGAATCTGTAAATCAGGCGGGTGCCTCCTGCCCCTCCACCGAATACGAGATTCATTGTGTTTGAGGAGGAGTTAGAGGTTACAGTTTCCTGAGTCTTCCTGTTCCAAAATTCTTTATTTTTGTCCCTTTTTTTTTTCTATAAAATCCTATTTCTTTAGGAAAAGCACCAAGTATAACCAACCTCCAGGTCTAACACAATGGACCAATCGGGGCAGGAACTCAGAAGCCTTTGAGTAACTGGTTTGTTGGTCAGAGGGTATTGGGGGTCGAGAACAGGCAGGGGAGCACCCGGGGCCTCGGGCTAGGCGCCCTGATCCAGACAGCCTCTCAGTGAGCCCCAGGCCCTCCCCACTGAGCCCTGCGGGAGTGTGTGCTTCAGGGGTGAGGGTGGGTTCCCCACCTAGAGGCAAGGTGGTTCCTAATGGATGGCTTCCTTTCACGGACCATCTCTGCTCTCATGTGGCCTGTGTGTCTGCTGTTTCATCTTTCTCTTCTCCTTTGGCCACAGGGCGACAGTCCCGGCCCAGTTCAGAAGAACCTGCACAATCCCATTGTACAGGTAGGTGTGCCTTCCCCGGGTTCTTGGGCCCTCCCTTCTCCCCAGCCTGATCATGCCTTCATCCCTTGTTCCCCTGGGCCCTTGGCATCCCCCCTTCCATACTGGGGCACCCAAAGCAGAGAGGAGTTAAGGAGGCACATGTGGTTGGGGGCCGAGTCGAGCTTCCCACCTGGGCCTGCCCTTTCGTGCCCTCTCTGAACCTGTAAACCTACTAAGTGCATCACACAACCTCCATCCTGCTGCCCTGGTAGTGTCTTCTCTTGGCAGCCAAAGTCTGATGAGCCAAGCCATGAGCTCACCCCTCCTTGCAGGAAACTTTTATTCATTTTTAACGTTTCAGTATTCTATCATAAGGGTGAGGAGGGGATCTGCAGGGAGGAAAATGGCATGAATGCGAGGGTCAGAGGGGTCTCTAGGATCAGTTTTCTAGTCCCAGGGTTCGCACATGCTGGTCTCTGCAAGTCCCATCAGGGTCCACCAGGGAAGTGTTTCAAATGTGGATTCCTGGGCCCTTCACCCTGAGAGCTGGATCCACCACGTGAGGGTTGGGCCTGGAATTCAGGGAATATCTTTTAGGAACCATTAGTCTAGTCTGAGCCCTGCCCTTTTGACAGAGAATGGTACCCCATGGCTGTGCAAAGCTCTCCGCCAGACACCAGCCCCCAACCCCCGTAGTTATCCCATCATCAGAACTAGATCCCAAGCCCCCGCCTCCCCACTCGACCTTGGCCAGTCCTGCTTCCTGTCCGGGGACTTCAGATTCAAGGTCCTTGCCCTTGGCGGACACAAAGCTCCGGTTTCCTCCGTCCTCACCCTCCAGGCTCCCAGGCCCCCTTTTCCACGGGGGCTTTTTCACAGGGAAGGGTGCCCTTACTCAGTGCCCCTGTGGCCCGGCCATGGCCCAGTGCATGGCCACACTCCTGCAAGCCCTCAGGAGGTACCAGTAAGGTTGTGGGCAAACACCAGCTCGCCATTGTGGAATGTTTATTATGCATTTTTATCCACTTTAGTGACATTCTCATGACAGTCTTGGGTGGGTCCCACTGTTGTCCCTGAGGGTCCCTAACCGGCCCAAGATCCCTGGCTGAGTGCAGGCAGACCTGACCACTGGAGGCCCCGCCCCTCTGTGCCCCGCCCCTCCCCGCTGTGGCCCCGCCCCCAGCTCAGGTTGGCTCTGTTCTTCTCCTCCGCATCTCTGCCGCTTGGGCTTGGCCCGAACAGTCACTAGAGGATCTTGAAGACCAAAAACGGAAAAAGAAGAAAGAGAAGATGGGATTTGGCTCCATCTCCCGCGTCTTCGCCAGAGGGAAGCAGCGGAAGTCCCTCGACCCCGGCCTGTTTGATGGTACCGCCCCTGATTATTACATAGAGGAGGACGCGGACTGGTGATACCCGCCTCCCTGCGCCCGCCGCCCGGCGGGCGTGTCTGTGCGTGTGGGTGTGCGTGGGGCGTGCGTGGCAGGTGTGGGTGCTGGGCGTGGCCAGGCGCGGACGCGTGGGACCCCTCCCCCTTGCGGCGCCACCTCTGTAATTGATGTACATACCGCAAACGTGTGTGACTCTGTCAACTCTCTGTCGTCCTCGGCGCGATACGGTCGTGTTGTTCATCTGGGTTTGTTTCGTTTTGTATTTTTGTTCCCTTTTTGTTTTTATGTTTCCTTTCGTTCGGTTCGTTGGGTTGTGTTTTTCCCTCCTGTCCCCTCCCCTCCCCTCCTTTCTATGAAACTTGAAAACTTGAAGGACTGCTGTGTATTTGTAAATAACAAAAACGACTGTGCACTCCGTGCTTGTACATGTCCCTCGTCCGAACTGCTACTCCTGGAGCCCCTGTCCCCGAGGATGTGGTCTGTCTCCCGTGCCCCCCGCCCCCGTGTGAACGTGTGGGACCAGACCCTGTGCTCGGGGTGCGCTCAAGTCACTTTAGCCACAAAACGCCACTGTCGCCAGGGTGAGGTCCCTCTCCGCAGCCCGGCCGGGGGCGGGGAGCCTTGTCTTGGCTGGGTTTGTTGAGGTCCAACGGGCTCTTTTTCACGGCCTGCCAGTTTTTAAATTGCGTTGCCATTTCTTTCTTTATGGAAAAAAAGAGAAAAGAAACAGAAGATGGTTCCGTTTAATTTATTTGCACAAATGCAGAAGACGTGTTCTATCTAAATTATTACATAAATATTGGAATTGTATATTTTTCCACGGGGCGGGCGGGAGGCAGGGGTTTCTGTTGACTAGTCTATTCTCTTATCATGCTGCTGCCAAACTGGGCGAGGTAGAGTGGAGGGGGGCCGGGGGCCAGGGACCGTGGGATTTCAAAGCTTGCTTTTTTCCGTTCTCTCTCCTGTTCTCTCCCTGTTCTTCCGCCTCTGCATGGACGGGCGCTCACCTTTCTCCCCACTCTCTCCAGGCCTCTCTCTATTTATTTATCGGAACCACAGAACCCTGACCAGTGAGCAGAGCGCGTCCTGCAGCGGTCCCCTTCTCTCGGGTCTGTCTGTGGAGTGAGGTTGGAGACGGGGAGGCAGCCAGTCCCATGAGCCTCCTGCGGCATCCGTTCCTCCCTGCAGCTGTGTCTCTCTGCTTGGGTTACTCTCAGCTTGGCCAGGCAGGTGTCCTTGGAGGTGGGGGGCGGGGGGTTCTCTCTCAAGGGGAGGGCTGTTGGGGACACTGACCCCGTCCTGGTTGGCCCCTCCAGCCACACTTAGCGGAACCTCTCGGGATCCCCGGGGCCCTTGCTCCAGCGGTCCCAGCAGCCTGGCCCACTCGCCCCAGGAGAGAGGATGGGCAGGAACATTTGCCTATTTGGGAGCTGTGTTGGCCCCAGCGAGGCTTCCTGGCAAAGAACCTGGTGCATTAAAGGTGGGGTGATGGAGATCACGTGAGCTGGAAGCCAGGGCCTCCCCAGGCCTGAAAGGAGCGTCCCTCTTCTCTTGGCCTGTGAGCCCCACCCCCCATCCCCACCCGCGGCTCCACCTTAACTACTAACAGCTCAGTTCGCACACCCTCTCAACAACAGTAGTTGCGCTTTCTGCTAACAGTAACACTTTCAGCTCTTACAAAGAAACTAAATTTTCAAGTGCTGGAGAGTCTCTATCAGAACGGATAGGGTCTTTTGTCCAAAGCCCCTAAAACTAACAGAAAAGCCCCCGTTTGCCCCCCGGTGCAGGGTTGGGAGGGAGCAGGCCGGGCACTCACGAAGCTCCCTCTGGCCTCCCGTGGCCAAGCCGGTTAACGGAGAGCCCAGAGCCCATGTCTTTCTCTGCAGAGAGAGATGTTAGAAAATGCTTTCTCCCCCATGAATCTTTTTTTTTCCTCTTTTGATTGATTTTTATTGTTTTCCCTTACGAGAAAATAAGATTGCAACCACTCCCGGTAATGATTTAGTAGCTCCTTTTCATTTCAGTTTTTGTAAATTAGGAGATAATTCTCAGAGTTGCTAAGGATGATTTATTTAAGGGAACTCCGTCAAATAGCGAATGAGTTATGGGTAACATTAGATGAAAATCACCTCTCCCGTGGGAAAGGTTTCTCGAAGGCATGGATGCAAATATAAAATATTTAAAAAAATCTAAATAAAGCTTATTTTAAAATATTACCGAACTCTATGTTATTTGATTGCTTCTATGTTGCTCTGGGTGGGAGGCCAAGTCCCCATAACCTGCTTCTTGGAATGCCAGGGCTAGCTCCCCAGGGGGTGACGGGAGGGGCCGAGGAAAGCTGGCTGGGTTCTGAGCTGATGGAGGGGGCCGAGGCCCAGGTGGCCTTCCAGAAACATCTCGTCTTTGCCGGCTTTACTCTAGGCATCCGGGGCTGCCCGAGGTCCTCATACCCCAGCTCGGAGCTTGGCACCCTGGCTCAGCGCCCCGGTCAGCTTTCATCGGCTTCCTTCTCCCCCTGCCGAAGCCAGAGTAAGCCAGGCTTTTCTGAACCCCGGGAGGTCCCCCAGACACAAAGCCTCACCCAGTGAAACTCCACAGTGCGTCCCGAGAAGGGGCCCCCGGGTACCCCATCCCCGATGGCAGCCAGTGCCTCAGCCTCTATCTCCCAGCCTCAACAGAAAGCTACTCCAGCCGTGAAACTAACAGCAGAGTGGCCTCTTACCTCCCCTGTCATTTCTGCTGGAAGGAAGCGCAAAGCCCGGGATAGCAGTCGGTACCGAGAAGCTACAGAGCTCAGGACCGCGAGGAACTAGGCCCTAGTTACTCGGGCATCTCCCCCAGCCGTGCTCAGCCCGGCCCCACATTAGAATCACCCGCGGAGCTTTCAAACTACGGCCAATGCCAGGCCAGCACCCGAATCAGAGTGTTAACCTCTGGTGATTCCGAGGTGCAGCCGGGCTGGAGGACCCCTGGGCCAATCGGAGGAGGGCACGTGGCCTCGAGATGCCACTGCTGCCCTCTCCCTGGCCTCGTGCAGGCATCACGAATCTGGTAAAGGGCCTCCCTGCCCCGCCCAAATCAGGTGGCTCCTGATTTCTTGACTTTACAAAGCCCCAGGCGGCTACTGCCCGTCAGGCGGAGTTGGCATACAAGGAGAGAGCCCGTGTGCCATCCCAAAACTAGCCCAGGCCCCACGCCGGCCCAGGGGAGAGCGACTCGGCCAAGATCCCAGCTCTCGAGGAGCCATGTGACCTCTCAGGGGCTGGGCCACACCTTGTTCAGATCTTGGTGGCTCTGCTCAAAGGCCGCCCTCCCTCCTTGTCGTCATCTCCGACACCTTATCCCAAATGGCCCAACTCCGAGCGGCGCCTGTTAGTGAGAAATTGAGGCAGGGCTGCCCAGCCTCCGGGCCAGGGGAAGCTGCACCGTTGGCACCGCGTGCCTCCGTGAGGCCCTGCTGTGTGGGCACCCGAGTCCTGCCGTGCGCAGCCTGCGAGGCTGTCCTCTGCCCTCCTGCAGCTCTCCCGCCTGCTGGCCGGCTCCGACAGGGGCCCCTAATAATAGCAATAACAGTCCCAGCTAACACCACTAAGCACTGACCGCGGCCAGGGCCCACGCTGCGCACCTGACATGTGTTAACTCCGTTAACCCTCCCGTGGCCTCCGTGATCGAGAAATCAGCATAAACAGTAGCGCTGGGCTTCAAACCTAGGGATGCTGCACTGCCTCCAAGCACAGTGCCAGCTGGGCAGTGCGGGGCTGGCACCCAGCAGGCGGGCGCTGTCTGTGTTCCAGCCGGGCCTGGTGTGAACCTCACTCCCCGCCCACTCCTCCCTCGTCCCCCATCAGTTCTCTCTGGCACAGCCTCCCCTTGCGCTTGTGACCACGTCTGTTCCCATGAGCCTGACCCCCAGGCTCAGAAAAAGAAACCCAGGGAGGAGCTGGCGGGAGGGCCGAGCAGACACACGGCCGGCACAAGCCCTCGGTTTTGAGCTTTGCTCTGCCTCGGAGTCCCCCCCCCCCCCCCCGAACCACACCCGCAGCCCCACCCACCACACCCGGTGCCCTGTCCCCTTCTGGCCCAGGAGGGGCCGGGGCCCCACCGTGCTGGGCAGCTGCTGTGTGCTTCCCTCCCTGGGCCTCGGGGAGCCCAGGTGCGCCGGGCCACCCCGTGTGGGGTCACCCGCCCTTTGACAATGTAAGTTTAAAAATACCTATGGGCCCTGGCACCCGACACCTGCGTTGTCACCAAAACGGGCCTCACAACCGTCCCTCCCCCGGCCCAGCTGCTCCGAACAATGGGCCCTTCAGCTTTTTCAACTCACCCCTCGCCCTCCACGTGGGCACAGGACCCCGTGCCCCCTTCCTCCCACCGTTCCCACCGCCTGTGGGAGAAGAAGCTGGTGGTCATGAAGACGAGAGGGAAGACCTAGCAGTCACTTTTCCAGAAGGATAGACTCATAACTTGAGACGGTAAAAGGGCGCCCTAGAAATTTAAATACCTCCTGAGCTTGGTCGTGACTGTGTTAGAAGTCAGGCTCCCGAAGGTACCACCAGGTTCTTCTTCCACCGGGAAGTGGGAACAGGGGGGCGGGAGGGGGCCCGGGGTGCTTTGCCCATGGGTAGGGGAGGGGTTGAGTTGAAAAAGCGTAAGAGCCCATTGTTGGGAGCAGATGGGGAGTGGGGGGGGTGGGGGGAAGGGATGTCTGTAAGGCCCGTTTTGTGTTGGGAACACGCAGTCATACCCCGTCACCAGTGCAGTATCACTTGACGGCATCAGGGGTTCGGCTAATTCAAACCTGAGCCGCCACTGCCTCGTGCCTGAGAGCCCAGGCACTGAAAACCAGGGGAATGCGCGGCACAGGCCGCCCCGAACAAACGGAAGCCACAAGAAAGTGATCCCGGGAGGGCTGAGCATTAGAAGTAAAAATAGCAGCGATGGAAAACCTTGACCTTTTCCCCCTGAAAATGGCAGGACT